ATGCAGTCATGCCTCCAGAGGCCGGTGGTACATGGGATCGTTAATCTCCTATACCAAATGGCCCCAAATTACCATTTGCGTTCTGACTTTCTCCCTTACAAGTCACAGCCTGGACTCTGGGAACAATTAGTCACTAGAGATTGCCACTACTGTTCCAGAAAAAAAATCAAAGTTATCCAAATAACCCATCAAGTGATTCCTAAATCTAAGCATGAAGAGACTGACTTTACGAATCTTAGCTATTGAAGAAGCTTTTTTTTTTTTTTTGGCTTGTCCCTTCTTCATAATATCATGAACCAGGATATCACGACTGGTTAAAACTACTAGCTAACCTACCTCTACTATAGTTAACTATGTGCTTCATAGAAATTTAGCCAAAACTAGGCTAGGAGCATATTAGGAATACCCACTAGGTACAAACAGACATTTTAAAAGGTTATGAAATACACTAACCAGCTCCTGCTGCTATTACTAAGCAAATTAGCACTATTAAACTACAAAGGCACAATGATACAAGAGAATTAGAAGCAACAGGTCATTCTACGACAATGTGTTTAACACAAATGAGATTATATGCGATTCGAAGAAGTATGCCAATAATGGTAAACTGAATTGATGAGGAGTTTTTCCCCAGCATGTTAATGTTTTGACGTGATAGAGTAAGCGTTTTCACAATTAGAGAAAGCCTCGACAGTACATCAAGATTAAGAAAAAAAAACAAAACACATGCTAAGTTCTATAGAAGTGCCTTCCCCTGAAGAAAGTGGCTGGTTTAGTAGAGTAAAGAAGCCCTTCACTTTCCATAGATTAAAGCATTTGGGAAAGCTGTAGTGCAGATGAAGAGCTTGATAACATTTCCCTGTGTTTAAAATAGGCTATCTTTGGGAAGTATTTAATTTCGATGAAAGTGGTCTCGATGAGAAGTAAATATCATCAAGAACGTAAATATTTACATAAGTATGAACCGCAGGGTATAATATTGGGGGGGGGGGACAAAACCCCAAAACCCCAAACCCACTGCTTTCAAGTTGATTCCAACTCATAGCGACCCTATAGGACATAGTAAAACTGCACCATAGGGTTTCCAAGGAGCAGCTGGTGGATTTGAACTGCTGATCTTTTTGGTTAGCAGCAGAGCACTTAACCACTGTGCCACCAGGGTTCCATAATATTGAAAAGGGTTGATTTAACTGCATTAATATTTATTAGGATTATTGTTTATTAGAACTCTGGTTTTGAGACTCTACTTTCTCCACCATTAGTTTTAGTGCATTATTTTGTAGAACTCAAGACTTTTCAGGAATATACATTCCGCATTATAGTAGGCCATCTGTAGAAGATGCAGCCCCTAGCTCAGGGAGCTTAAAAGCTAATTAGAACAAGTCCAATGGAAGAGTAGTGGTCAATATCTCTATCAATATCAATATCATTATCAATATCTCTACCTCTCTCTTGCAATTGTGTCTGGATACCACCCAGAATCAAGTCATCTCTACCTCTCCACTTAGCAGTCTATCCCATTCTGCTCCTAGATAAGGCGTAAGCTTGAATATATCCAAAACCTAAATGTTCCTTATTCTAAACTAAGAGTTCTTTTCTTGCCTATCAACAACTTCTAAGCCCTACATTTGAGGTACTATTTTTCAATTTCTTCTGTACTACCCTAAGCTGCCACCCAACTAGACTACAGTTTACAACCAAAATCCCAAGCGACTCCCTGGTCTGGCTCTATCTGGAATGCCTGATCCCTCCTTTCTGTCTCATTGAAATCCTACTCCAAGTGACTCACCTTGGATCTTAACCCCAGAGCACCTGCACACTTTTACCTTATACTTTATTTCCCTTTGTATCACTCATTTGTGTAATCTCTCACTACAGAATATGCTCCTTAGGGGCTGACAATTTTCATTGCATCCTTTTCGATCAGCTGCTAATCTAAAGGTTGATGGTCTGAACCTACCCAGAGGCCTGGTGAACTGCTTCCGTAAGACTAAAGCCAAGAAAACCCTATGGAGCAGTTCTACTCTCACATGGGGTTGCCAAGAGTTGGAATCGACTCCAGAGCAATGGGCTTTGTTTAAACTATCACATACTCAAGTATGTCCAACGGAGTCTGTTTTTGGTTACCTGTTTGCAAAGGTATTGTCATCTTTCACAGCAAAAGCACGCTACCTCAGCTACTCTGTGGTACAATTGTTTATGGGCTTGTCTGGAAGCCTAACTGCCACAAAAGGATGGCTTCTCACAGAAATAAGTAGTTGGGGAGGCAATGTAAGCAAGTGAAACTACGATTTTGAAACAAAGGCTCAAAAAGATCTGCCAGCTTCTGTGACCTTGGGGCAAATTACTTCTGCCACTCAATTTCTTCCTATACAACTGGTAACACACCTCATAGGACAAAAAAGATAAAAATGGTAATATATAAAACCACCCCTCCACAAAAAGGGTAGATTGCTGTTAGAATAACCTTCTTTCCTAGAGTGAATCCTTAAGTTAAGGGCTTACTTTGAATTCCTTCAGTACGGGGAGAGCAAGATTGGAGCAGTGCAGAGCTTTTAGGGGGTCAAAGAACAATCACCCCTCTGTTTCATTTTACATTCTATAAACAATCCATTTTAAAAATTAAACATACACTTGAATCCCTCAACCAGGATCTAAGTGTTCTTAACCCAGTAGGGGGAAAACATTTGTCACCTATTAGGGAGGTAGGTTCAAGCTGTTTCCATACCCTATATTTGGAAGGTGAGTAATGTAATATCGACAGAATGGAAACAAATTCTTAGCAAAACAGTAAGTTAACTAACAGTGTTTATTCTGTAATTGCCCTGTAAATAGAGATGGCTCATTTATCCACAGCCTCAACTATACACACCACAGAAATGAAGATTCTCAAGAGCTAAACGAGAGCTGCTCCTTACTTCATTTTATCTAATAGCACTATCTCTTGACTGGACTGGAGGCTAGGCATCTATTATTTTATTAGAATAGCAACAATGTTCAAGCACAAAAGGAATGCATTTATCTGCTAAGGTAACTTCTGGAGCTTTCCTTAGACTGTGTTTTACCATCTGCACAATATAGAGCATTTGAATTTCCTCCCATCCCCCGTATTTTTCCCTGGGGACTTTTGTTTTTACGAAACCTGAATTCCAATTTTAAGTTATTTCAAACTCATCACTTTCAGAAAAGCTCCCAAGCTTAGCCTTGCAAAATCTTGCTCCCTCAACAAATAGTGAGCACCCAGTGGATACAGGCTGGGCCCGGTGCCAAGAGTCCAGTATGAGTCTGAACTGGGCCCTGAATCCTGGCTCTATCACTACTAGTTGTGTCATTTGGGCACAGTACTTATTCTCTGGCCTATAAAATGAGAGTAACCAGCACTACCTCACAGTGTTAGGAGGATTAGATGTAACAAAACACAAAGGTATTCCAACAATGTCTAGCCCATTGCAGGCACTCAACAAAGAATGATTATACAATGGTTAAGTCAGACAAGATACCTGACCTATCTTGACCACTTGTGGCTATTATATTCTTTTATATTCATAATTTGCTTTGCCCTATTTTGATCCCTCCCTCAAGGACCTTCTAATCTTTTTTTTTTTTTTTTTTTTTTAATTGAGGGCATTTAAGGCTTGTTGACTTTGTTACTTTGTAAATATTAAAAACTTTTCCCCTTCTAGGTTCTAGCTCTCCCAAGTAGGTAGATGCCAAGCAAAGACACAGACCAAGTTTCTCTGGAAACACCTTCCGAATTTACCTTCAACATTTAAAGGCCCAGACTGAGCGTCAACCACCACCGAAGGGCTTGGTTTCATTTCAAAAAATAAAGTTTTGAAGAGCACCATTTCAAAGTCCTTGATTTCTCAAGGGCACGAAACCACTATAGAGTGTACACTATGTCATACACGCCTCTAACTACAGGGATTAGCAATAAGGAAGCCATTAAATTCCCATCTCCAGCCTGGTATTTTATTGGCTATAGTTGATTATGGAAGCTGAACCCTGAATGTTAATTTCTCCCCTAATCATTTTAGGGGGTGGCATGCTAAATGATTTTGATCAGCTATCAATTGATCATTATTATCCTAAGCAAATTTAAAACACTGAGCCATTTTTATATTAAATAACTGTAAATGAAATAAGTAAAAACCGCTCTCCAGGGAAACCTCAAGGGCCTCACTTTCAATCCAACACAGGTAAATTATAGAAGCTGGACCTGCTTGCCCTTAGATTAAGAAAGACTTCTCCTTTCCAGTGGTCAAGACAAACAGCAAAGAAGCCTTGATAAATTTGCCGAGTCCTAGAAACTGCTGTCTGAAAATGTCAACTTTGCTCGTCTTTAGTCCATCTTCTACCTTTTGGGGTTATTCTACATTTTTCACTAGCCATCTTTTTACAGTCAGAAAACTTTAAACGAGGGGATCCCGTTTTCTTATTAAGGATAATTGTGCCAAGTGCTTGTGAGCTAATGAGTCCGGTTAAATGTGCAACTGCCGAAACTAGTCCGAGTGTGTTTTTATTTGAAAGCACGCGGACTGTTTAGTATTCTATAAAAATGCCTAGATTTAACCCGCAACCGTAAATTGCTGTAACATGGAAGGGAAACAAGAGAGGCGGAAGGGCTAGGGCTACAACATTCAGGCCATTTCTATCCCCCTCTGCTAGCACTCGAGGTTTATCTGGCTTTACGCTCAATTCGCACGTAAGATGGTGACTCCCGCTAGGCGCAGGCTACACTGCCTGGGACCGGCCCGGGACCAGGAGGCGTCTCGGCCTACCGCCCTCCCGACGGCCCAGATGGAGAAGGCTGGGCTGGGCGAGTCCTTTTGTCTCTACTCTATCAACCCAGAGAAAGAAAGGAAGGAGGGAGGAGGGAAGAAAATTCCTCCCAGCCCTGCAGCCAGACGGAGGGTCGGGCGAGGAGGCGAGGAGGCGAGGAGCCAGCCCGGCCTCCCCGGCGCCCAGCGGCAGGCAGGGTGCGCACCGGCCGCCCTCACCTCGTCCTCCTGCTCGCTCCGGAAGCATAGGCACGCCGCCCGTTTCTTGAAGCCCTCGCGGTCATAGGTCCGCGTCTGGTTCGGCTTGAACTTCATCATAGAGGCGGGCTCCTGCTGCTGCTGCTGCTCTGGCCGCCGCCGAGGGGGCCTGGACACCGCCACGCCGCCGAGGAGTGCGGGCGAGGGCGAGCTGGGGCGCAGGGGCGCCGGGCGGCGAAGGGCGACGCTGGACGCGGCGAGGCCGATCAGTCTGGGGGCCGGCGACCGCTCTGACGCGGTGCAGGCCACAAGCGCGGGTCACTGGAGCCCGGGTGCCGCGGTGGAAGCGCCGCCTCTGCCCGGGCGTCCGCTGCTCTCCATGGAGCCGGCTGCCGCCGCCACAGCCAGGGAAGAGCTAGGCTCGAGCCACGCGGAGGCAGTCGCAAGCAACCACGCCGACTGGGCAGCAGCGCCGCGCCAGCCGAGCGCCGCCCCCTCCGCCCGCATTTAAACGGAGCTCGAGCCACCCGCCCCGCCCCCTGCACAGCGCCCTGCGCACCGCCCTGCGCGTGCCCCCGCGCTTGCGCGCCGAGACCGTCGCGGCGGGGGAGGGGCGGCGGGGGGAGGGCCGCGCGCTCCGGGTCGCGCGCTCCAAGCGCGAGTTCCGCTGGGGCTGAGGCGAGTTGGCGCCCAGTGTAGGGGGACCGTACCCCGGTAAAAGGCCAGTGAATGGCAAAGAAGCAAAGACCTCCCTCCCTCCCCGGTTGTAGATCCCGCGACTTTCCTACCAGAATCCCAAATACCATCTCAATGAGAGGTAATTTGCTGCATACATCCTCAGCAAAGTTGCTCCCTGGTCAGGAAATGGCCAGAAGACAGTGCAGCGGTTGCAGACTCTGCGGCGACTGTAGACACGTCCAGAATTCGCCCGTACAGCGCGGAGACAGAGGAAGGTGAAGCCTTTGAAAGGTTAAGACGTTAATTAAGACGATTCCACACACCGCCACCCCCTTCGGAGGGAAGGGAAGGGACTCGTTTCTTTTTTTTTAAACTTTGGTCGGAGGGGAGGGTCGCTTGTATTCTTTTTCGAGTAAGGTCAAGCCTAAACATTTTGAAGTTTCCCATAGCATCCCCCACTTTGCCCCACCCTCCAGAATTTATTCATTAATAGTAGCAACGGCTAATATTTACTGTTTTCCATACGTATCTTTTGTAACAGGCACAGCTGGGTGCTGAGGCCACTACACTGAATATAATGGAATGTCTTCTATCTGGGAGTTTATAGTCTAGGGACTTGGAACAAACAACCTTTACATTTTAGAGTGTCATAAAGGCCAACGTAAGTGCCAGCGGGCTTGGGTTTTTAGAAAACTCCATCCTGGTCCCTCCGCAGAGACCCACGGCAGCTTAGCATACGGGTACATACATTTTTCTTTTTGTTTTTCATTTCTGGGGCGCCTGCTGTCTGCCAGGAGCTGGCATCTAACAAAACCTGCCAGCCCCTGCCCTGCAGGAACTTAGACGCCTGACAGCAGACGGTCAAATATTGAACAATCACACAGGTACATGTAAAACTACAAATGTGATAAGGTCAAGGTGGTAGAGGGTTTAATATGAGATTTGAGAAGATCTGCAAATCGGAAAAGGCTTCCAGAGGAAGCGGGGCAGGAGCTGCGGGCTGAAGGAGGAGGAGTTAAGACTTAGAGCTTGTGAACTTTCAAGGCAGGGGGAACTGGAACTTATGCATGGCCCAGTGGGGGAGGAAGCGGGGAGAGTTCTAAGAAATGAAAAAAAGAAAAAAAAAAAAAAAAAGGTGAGTGTGCCTGCAGAGGAGGAGGGGAGCTGGGTTCCACCTTTGGCCAGGAGGAGCCAGAGGCCTGACCATTCTGAGGCTGGGGTCCCTTAGGGGTCTCAGAGCAGGGCACTGAGCCTTGGGTTCTTGACTCTGATCCTCTTTAGGTTCAGGACTGCTGCACCTAACTAATCTTGTTTACCCCCAGGGCCTAGCATGTGCAAGTTTGTAGCATGTGTTAATGTTGAATAAGTGATTTAAGGAATGAGGCTTTCCATGGCCTTTATGATGGGAAATCTTACCAAGTCTCTGCAGAGGTATTTTCTAAGCTGAAGCTTTCTTACAGAAGCCACTTGAAGTTTGACTGTTTCCAGAATTACAGATATGGGCAGGACACGTCTAGCTAGGAACTCCAGAATGGCACAAATGCACAAATAGTATTTTTAGGTTATTGGTTCAAATTGATAAAGTGATTAATCTCACTGTAGTCTTTTTGAATGACAAGAAGGTGAAGTTTTCCCCTTAAAACCCTTCAAAGGTGTAGCTTCTAGTAGGTGCTCAGTAAATACTGGTTGACTGAATGTTGGTTCCCTCAAGTCTTTCTTTTAAATCCATAAGGTGAGGCATGAATTAGAATTTACTGAGGAAAAAGGAGGAAGATGACTGGAATCAACTAGCTGAAGGGAGGAAAAGCACAGAACCAGTGAACTTGAGCTTCAGGTTCCAGGCCACTGAACTTGGTTGAGAAATCTTGGGTTCAGGTCTTGTTTGTGCCACTGAGTATACATGTTTGCTCTTTCTCTTAGCATCTTTTCTCATCTCTAAAATGGGTATAAAGAAATATAAGATGTTATTTCCACATGCAGAAGAATAAAACTGGACTCATACCTCACACCAAATATGAAAATGAACTCAAAATGGATCAAAGACCTAAATATGGGAACTGAAATCATAAAACTCTTAGAAGAAAACAGGAGTAATGCTTCGGGACCTAGTTCTTAACAATAGATTCTTAGATATGACACCAAAAGTACAAGCAGCAAAAGACAATATAGATAAATTGAGCTTCATCAAAATAAAAAAATTTAAAAAAATCTCGTGCATCAAAAGACATTATCAATAAAGTGAAGAGATAACCTACAGAATCGGAGAAAATATTTGGGAACCATATATCTGATAAAACCAAAAAAACGAAACCATTGTCATCAAGTCGATTCAGACTGATAGTGACCCTATAGGACAGAGTAGAACTGCCCCATAAGATTTCCAAGGAGTGGCTGGTGGATTTGTACTGCCGGTCTTTTGGTTAGCAACCATAGCTCTTAAGGATTTACTATTCAGAATATATAGAGAACTCGTACAACTTAACAACAAAAAGACAGACATCCCAATCAAATAAATGGGCAAGGAAGGGAATTGAATAGACATGTCACCTAAGATAATAAAAATGGCCAACAAGCACATGAAAGGTGCCAATGTCATTGGTCATTAGGAAGAAATACAAGATGTTATTAACAAAGACATTTTCATTAGACAGCATCTCCTCATTTCTCAAGGGGTAGAGGAGTTATGGGGGGCCACATGCTTGGATAGAGTTATGAATTTTGACACTGGAGGAAGGGGTCTTAATTTAAAATGAATTATTTAAATAAGAGAATGCTTTGCTATAAATAATCACCCCCAGCTGCTTTTTTTTAAGTTTATTGTCAGATTTTCTCAATTATTTGAGAAAGAACATAAAAGTAAACTTGCCTATGACTAAAATGAGAGAATAGAGAAAGGCTGAATTTTAAGACTAGATCTTCATTTTCCAAGGCCCATTCCTTGGTATTAGGGTATACACCACAGCCAAAGCTCCCTGCTTAGTATTGTTTAGCAAGTATTATGCAGCTGAAATGCACTTAGGCACTGTTCAAAGCTTAGATCGTATCCAGCCAGATCACAGTCAAGATAGACACAGGCTTGTTTTTCCTCTGCAGGGTCAGTAAGGACTGGGCTACACCGGCAGGTTCACTTGGGGATCAGAGTCCAATTTCAGATTAATCTCTCTTTAGTCCATTTACTGCAGCATTATCTTATCTAGAACTTAACATACACAGTGCCATTTCTTGTACTACTTCAAAATATTTTAAATTTTCAGTGAGGGGAACAGTTTAACATTGCCTGTGTAGGGTACTTTCTCGCCCCATCTCCTTTTAACAATGTAGCAGAATATTTTGGAGGTAGTGTCATCTGAGGAGTCCCTGCATGGCCCAAATGGTTAAACACTCGACTACTAACCAAAAATTTAGCAGTTCAAAACCACCCAGAGGCACCTTGGAAGACAGGCGTGGCAATCTGTTGCTTAAAGTTCACAGCCTTGAAAACCCTGTGAAGCAGTTGTGCTCTGCACACATGGGGTCACCATGAGTTGGAATTGACTCAGTGGCAACTATCAACAATAACAACAGTGTCATCTGGATGTAGTGTAGGGCACTGGCTGCTTTCTCTTGAAAGTAACTCATGATGTTACCATAAAGTAAGTTCCTTCTCTCATTGTAAAACTGTGATAAGTGACAAATGACCCCTTCCTATATCTTATAATGATAATAATAGTCCAGTTGCTGTGGAGGTGATTCCAGCTTATGATGACCCCACAGTAGAACTGTGCTCCATAGGGTTTTCAATGGCTGATTTTTCCGATTGCCAGGCCCTTCTCTTGCAAGGCGCCTCTGGGTGACTTCGAACTGCCAACCTTTCGGTTAGCAGCCAAACATGTTAACTGTTTACACTACCCAGATACATTAGGCTGGTAATGCAACCCAGGCCTCCTGCATTGAATGGGAGAATTCTACCACTGAGCCACCAATGCTCTTAATGATTAATAATAGCTAGTCTGTATTGGAAGGAGTCCTGGTGATTAAGCGCTTGGCTGCTAACTGAAAGGTCCATGATTTGAACCTACCAGGCGCTCTGCTGAAGAAAGATTACAACCTTGAAAATCCTATGGAGCAATTCTTCTCTGTCCTATAGGATCGCTATGAGTTGGAATGGACTTGACAGCAACAGGTTTGGTTTTTTGGTTTAGTCTTTATTGAGTGTTAGCCAGCGCTGGGTGTTTTACATGATCTCATTTGAATGATCCAGCAGGGCTATGAGGCAGCTACTTTTTACTGTCCCCATTTTACAGGTGAAGAACCAGGGGCAGCTTTGTCTCTGAAGCCTGTGTTCCGAACTCCTATACTGCATTGCTGTGAGTTTGTCTTGCAGCTTACATTACATAGTAATTGTTATTCTGTAAGTGTTATATTCTAACACTGGGGTTTCTTTCAGTAAACCTTATGGTGCACAGTTCTACTTTCAGTTATAAAATGAAAGAGCTCTGTTGTTTAGCGTGGAGTCCTGAGAGAAGCTCTTAAAGTGGGAAACCCAAGTGGAAGTCTTGATTACAATTTCATTTAAATTTAAGAGAATTTTGTTTTCTTTTACAAAGGGCACAGACTAGACTTGAGTAGGCAAAGTTTAAAAAGCCTTGATTAACCAATCCAACCAGCATTTGCAGAATTTTAAAAGCAGACTTTTTGGTTTGAATGTTTATAAACTTCTCTTCTACTGAAATGAAGAAATGATTTTCAATTCATTTTCTATTTCCTCGATTCCTACTTATTGCAGAGAACTTTGTTTGATGAGTACCACATTTATA